CAGCAGTCAGGAGGCAGGCCGAGGTAGTACATAGGACTTCCCAGGCACTTCCGAGGTAGGCAGTTGGCAGTTGTAGTCTTCAGGATTCGGGTGCAGCACTCTGGAGGGAGCGTTGCGTTGTAGTAGTGGTAGCGTTAGCTAGTAGTCTTCAGCGCTGGGCGCAGTAGGTAGTTGTAGTCTCCAGCGCTGGGCGCCATAGCTAGGTAGTACTAGAGAGAGAGAGAGAGAGCTTGGGCGGAGGCCAGAGGTACCTACCTGCAGCGCCGCTGCTCCAGCTTCGTCTTCGAGGTACCTGCAGCACAGCGCCAACATCACAGGTTAGTATCTGGTTCGTAACAAAGAGAAAGAGAGAGGGAGTTCTTCTTCTTCTTCTTCTTCTTCTCAGTCCACCATCTCTTCTCTCCCTCTCACTTCTGACTTCACTGCATCTGCAGACTATGAGAGAAGAGATACAGAGCTTGGTGACATTTGATCCAGACTCAACTTTCGGGGGTTCAGACATGGCAACGAGGGCCTATTTGGGATTGGTGACCAAGACTTGGTGTTAACGACATTCCCATCTTCCTCCCTCCTTTCGTCTGATCCTTATCTCTTCGTCTATGTATGTCTGGACCTGGCGCTTTCTTCTTGTGTGCAGCGCCAGGCTCCTTCACACTCGTGATGGATACAATGCATGTTTAGTCTGAGTTCAAACATTGATTGGGCTAGTTAGTCGTACTCTAGCGTTCTGCTTCGTTACTCTGAACTACGTAAATGAGGTCAGTCCTGTCAGGTCAGTCTTTGTATCAAAGTCTTCCCTGCGCTCTTCAGCATCTTTATGTATGAATGAGAATGTACATTGCTTGTCGAGAGTCTACTCGTACCGCATTGTCTATTCAGTCCTTTTCATCACACTGCAGATTCTCGGTTTATTACGTACATTGCATATTTGTGCATGTAACAAGAGCGAGGTCCCTTCGAGCGAGTAACTCATTCTGAGTCCCCGACAAACGCATCGTAGGCAAACAAGGCAAAGAGATGTCGAGAATACTCTGTCGCAGTGAGCTTGGCAGAGATTTTAGGTGCATCATTAGAGGCGATTTGTCGCCTGTAGGCTTTAACAACTCGCGGTGCACTGCGCAGCAGTTCCTGCTTGGAAATCCAGTATAGATCATCCAACGGGTGGTACATGAAATGAACCTGGTACTGTCTGTTGCGTCCGTTCCCTACGTGCTGTTTAATTCTGTCTATCTCATGTCCGCCTTTGATTGCACGAGGAATCATGTCTTCACGGTAATCGAACGACTTAGCATCACGGTGGAGATACAGTTTTGATGCATGAAACACGGGATATGTGCGCATATGAGGTGGCACAGCACCCACGTATGAAGGGCCAAATTTATCTTCGCCAATCACATCCAGAACTTCCCATGGACCATAATAGAGTGGGAAAAGTTTACGTGATACTCCCTCTTCTTCTGAAAACTCAGACATCTTGACCCAGACATAACTTCCCACCTCGATATGTGAAGGTCGGCGCTTCTTGTTTGCACGATGGATCATGGCATGCTGTCGCTTGGTCATTGCTGCAATGGCAACGTTGAGCCAGCGATCGTACTTGGCCCTGAAGCCAGGCCTGCCGGGTGTTAAACCAGCAGGCTGCTCAGGGAATAGGTAGGAGAGCGGATTACGAATCTGCCAACCGTAATGCAGCCTGTTTGGTGTCATGCCGGTGGCAGAATGAATGGAGTAGTTGTGCAACCCCTTGACGGAATACAGCTCTTCATCCCATGTTTCCTGATCCGGAATGATTAAAGCGCGGAGAAGTTGGAACACCGTCAGGTTGATTTCTTCAGCCAAACCGTTGGCTTCGGGGTGTCGGCCAGATGTCATGCATAGCTTGAGGCCAAGGAGTTGGGACGTGAAGTCTTTCCATTCAGTACTAATGACGCGCGGGTCCCGATCACTCACAAGAGTTTTCGGGGTTCCGAACTGCAGAATGTACTTTTGTTTAAACTCACGGATCACCAATTCAGTTGGAGCATGAGATGGCAAAGGAATCAGATTAAGAAATTTAGAGAAGTGGTCAACAATCACCATGACTTGTGAGTAGCCGTTCTTACTTACCTTTCCCGTGTCGGTGAAGTCGATTGAAACAGACTCCCCGGGACCATCGGGAATATGAAGGGGTGTAAGTAGCCCCATTGGCTTTTGTCTACATGGTTTGATTCGTTGACAGACTTGACATTCAGCCACAAACTTTTCAGCAGATCCCTTCATGCCCAGCCAATCAAACTGTCTCAATAGGTTTCCATATGTCTTTGCCATGTCAGTGTCCACTTCGGCCATGAGCCAAGTCCAGAAAGTGCGTGCGAAGAGGCTCATGGTTGGGCACACGCAATCGTCGTGGTTCTCGTAGCAACAGAAAACCAGTCCTCCATACTCGTGAAAATCAGGCTGACTGCTGGGATCAGCCCGCAGCTGCTCAAGGATGGGACTAAGGTCCGGATCCTTGGCAATGTGCTCTACGAGCTCCTCCTTCAGTTTCTTCCGGAGGTCGTAGGAATTCACAATGCAAGTCATGTACTCAGACTGGCGAGACAACGCATCAGCAACTCGATTATAACGGTCCTTTTTGTGCCTTAACTCAAAGTCGAAAATGTCAATTTCATGGAACCAGCGGAGTAAGGTAGGGGACAGGGTAGTTTGTTCTTTGATCCACTTCAGAGTCTCATGATCTGAGAACACTTTGAAGTGGCGTCCCAAAAGATAGTGTTTCCAATGGTCCAAAGCCATACGCAAAGCATAGAGCTCACGCATGTAGGTGGAAGTGGCTACCTTTTTGTTGGACATGCGTTTGCTGTAGTATTTGAGCGGTTGTAGGCCATCGCCGTCATCTTGCTGCAGCATTGCGCCAATTCCATACTGGCTCGCATCCGTAGTAACTACGAATGTCAGTTTGGAATCTGCAATGCGGAGTACGGGGTAACTTCTCAGAGCTTCTTTCAAAGCTTGAAAGGCGCCCTTGCATGCGGTATCCCAAGCGTAAGGAACGTTCTTACTTGTTAACCGGGACAACGGGCGTGCAACAATAGAGAAGCGGGGCACAAACTTCCGATAGTACGACGCGAGACCAAGGAAAGAGCACAGTTCGCGGATGTTCGCGGGTTGAGGCCAATTGCGTATGACCTCAACCTTGGTTGCCTTAGGTTCTAGGCTTGCAGCAGACAACCGATGCCCAAGATAGATGACGCTATCCCTCCCAAACTCAGATTTCTTTAAGTTGAGATGGAGTTGCGTCTTCTTGAGGATGGTGAACACTTCCTCAAGGTGCTTTATGTCTTCCTCCATGGTTTTTCTAAAGATTAATATATCATCAAGGTATTCCACCACGAACCGACCAATCTGTTCGTGGAGGACCTTATACATGAGGCTTTGAAAGGTGGTCGGTGCGTTCGTGAGACCTAAGGGCATTACAGTAAACTCGTAAAGCCCATCGCGTGTTTTGAACGCAGTCTTATGCTGGTCCGCAGGATCGACTTCAATCTGGTGATAGCCAAACTTGAGGTCGATCATGGAGAAGACCTTGCACCCACCTGCATCATCAAGCAAGTCATCTATGCGAGGCAATGGACAGGCGTTCTTTCTTGTAATGCGGTTTAGACCGCGATAGTGAATACACATGCGGAGTTTGCCTCCTTTCCTTGGGATAAACAAAACAAGGGCACCAAATTCAGACTCGCTAGGCTTGATCCAACCCTTGTCAATCATTTCATCAATTTATCGTCGGAGTTCCTTCAACTCGCCGGATCCCATTCGGTATACGCAACCCTTTGGAGGAACAACACCTTCGACCAACTTGATGGTGTGTCGAACCGATCGCGTGGGAACTCCACGTGGTTCGGCCAAAACTTCTGGGAACCGATCAAGTAGGTTTTCGATGTTTGTTGGGACCGCTGGGGGTGAAGGGTCAGCTAAGGGATCTCCTAGATCAGGTTGCAAGTTGCGAATGGATGCAACTGAATCCGAAGTAGAATCAGTTCGATTAGGGGTAGGTAAAGAAGTAGAAGGGCTAAAAGTAGAATCACTAGATGAAGTACTATTGGTACTAGCCGCAAAAGTAGACGGCACATGAGTAGGGCGAACAAAGGCAATATACAACTGTTCATCCTCCTTGTGCTTGCGCCATTTCTTGCATAACTGCATGGCATTCAAAAACGTTACTGGGGACTCGTGCTTCTCATCCAAGAGGAAGAGAAACTCATTCCCTTGAGCATCTTTGACCATGAAAAGTGACTCCTTCCACTTGGTCCATTCGCATTGGGACTACAGCCAGCCCAAGCCAAGGACAGCGTCGAAGGGACACTTGTCAAGGACATAGAAGTTCAAAGCGTGGGTGACAGTTTTGTCCTTGTCAAAGGTAGTGTGCACACCTTTGACTGCATGCGTAGAGGAGACGACTTCTTTGTTGCGTACTTGGGTCCGACAAGGGTTCTGCAAAGCCACTTGCTTCATTCCCAAGCCCACTTCGTGTATACCGTGTGGTGACATAAAGTTAGTAGTCGCACCACAATCAATCAAGACACGGAGATAGCGGTGGTTTATGAGAAGTTTGAAGAAGATCAACTTCACTGTTGCTTGGGCACGCTGATGTTTCATCTCAGCCCAATGCTCCAAGTGGTAGTGGAAGTCAACCGTCTCAAACTCCTCCCAAGACTCGACATACAAAGCATGGCACACTTCAGCCTTGGAATCAGCAGATGATTGGGCTTCAAGGGAGGACTGCTGATTTGCATTAGATTCAGTCTCCCTCGCCGTAGAGGATGCTGAAGTCAACTCTACGCCCGGTTCTGGTTTCCCTGCAGCCTATAACATTCGTGTACCTTATGGTTTGGTTTTTGGCAATGCAAGCATACCCCCTTCTTGAGTCTAACCCTCCAATCATTTTCTGTATCCGGAGGTCAACCCATGGTTTAGTGGCTGCATTCTCTGGTTTCGCTGGGATTTTGACTCCCTTGGGAAGTTGGACATAGTTCTTCCTTGAACTCTGGTTCGGTCCACTTTACATTGGCAGACTTTTTTAAGGCATTTAATTTTTCCTCTTCATTATTCACATCAGAGTCATGGGCTGAAGAGTAGGCAGTGTCAGGGTCCTATTCTTGGTCGTCACCAAGAGTGGGGTCGTCTACATAGACCTCATCGGCCTCCAACAGGTCATGCACAGCAAAACGGTTGCTACCTCTGAACCGCCTGCCGCCAATAGGCTTTTTGTTGCCTGTTGTGATAATGAGGTCTTGAGCCTCAAGGCTGACCACATCCTGCATGAGGGAGAGCCAGTCCGTGTAACCAATGAGCTCTTTGCCTAGGCGATGCATCTAGGTAGTGGGAACCGTACCTTTCACAACATCCAAGCATGATTGTATAGTCATTTCCAGTCCTGGAGTGGCAAAAAGTTTGCTGACAAACAACTGCAAATTATGCATGGTGCTCGTCCACTTGTTCCGCTTGAGATCATCGAGTCTCTTTCAGGTTCTTGTTGCAGCATGTGGATCCTTAAACTGTTTGATAAGGATCTCCTCAAGTGTGGCTATGGGTGTGGCTTTCAGCCACTGTGTCAGATTGATCTTAGTTGTACCCGGCCTATGTAGCTTGGACTTCTAAGAAGCCTAGTACGACGGGCTCGATGTTGGTCCCCATGATCAAGGACTGAATCGCTGGTTGAGTTCCGAGCACCTCGAAGTAAGCTCTCATGGAGCTGATCCAGGACTCAACGTCTTCTTTCCCGTCGTACTTAGATGGTATGGGAACCGCCTTTCTGTCCACATAGGGACTGCTGTAGCCGGCACCAGAGATTGCTGCTTCTGAACTCGAGGCTGCAGCAGTTGCAGAATTCCCTGCGTCGTCACTTGCCGTAGCGGCAGCAGAGTCAACACCTACTACAGGTCCCAATGAAACCACACTTTGAGAAGAAGTAGAGCAATGGAGAGGAGCGAGGATAGTTTGGTTAGCAGCATTGGAGGCAGGAGGTAGAGGGAGAGGATTATAAATCTGATCCTTCTGCAGATTTGCCATCTGCCGCATTTGATCCTTGTGCTCTTTGGTCACTTCGGCCAGTTCCGCCCGCAGCTCACTTACCTCTGTCGAGAGTTTGGTGTTTTGTTCATGGATGTCATTGAGTAGGTGACAATCTATAAGAGCACGCACATATGCGACTATCTCCTTCTTGACCTCAGTGTCAGGCAAGGAGGAGACTGTTTTGAGGACAGCCTCATGGTCTGCAACAACGGTTTTCCGCTTTTCCTCCTCGGCTCTCTTCCCTTGCCAGTGCCTTCTCGTAGAGAGTTTGGAACAATGGTTTATCCTCCTCTACGGCTGCATCCAGTTGGGCCTTTAAGGCCACAAAAGCTTGTACATCGCCCATTTCCGCAAGTCCTTCAAGATGGGGACTTTCACTCTCTCTTCTCTCTCTGTTTTCCTTTTGCCTGCGAGTCTCTACGGGCATCAAAATATGAACTCAGGAAAAGAAACGGACTGAAAAGTTCAAAGAAGAGAAGGTAGAACTCCGAGCCGAAGCGGCATTACATTTGGACTAGAGAGCAGCAAACCAAAAAAAGAAAAACAATCTCACAGGAGAGGTCTGATCCAGCGACCCAATCTGATCAGACTACATATGAGGTCCTCTCGAGTCCAGTCTGACCAGCTCCGTGACCGTTCAACAAATCAGACAACGAGTGACTAAATGCAACAATGGAGAATTGATTGGTGTATAGGGTGCGAGTCAAGCCACGGACGGTGCGATAGCATGAGAAACGTCTCAGCCGGGATCTCCTCGGCAGTGGGTGTCCTAACCAAAAAGAATAAACTCTGGATCTCGGTCAGGAAGAAAAAGAACTAATGTCTAACAAATTCGGGTCCAAGGGCTCTTGTTTGGGCCCGGTCCCATTGGGTCCCCTGGGGTCCCACGTAGGTCGTGACCGAGTCCCAACCAAGAGGAGTCCCACTTGGACTAAGTTTCTGCCTCTACCATCCTGAAAACGAATTTCAACTTCCAGCAGAACCTACAGACTAAAGCCGTTCAGAGATGAAAAGACAAAGCATTGTAGAAGGAATCGGCATTCAAATCAAGATACTTCGTACACACATTCAATCACACAATCAAGACCACAGAGGAGTAGAAAAGAAACCCAGAATAACCCCAGCAGGACAATCAATACCATGCACACATACATGGGCATCCCGTAGGTGAACGACACTTACCTGAGTGGCCTGAGCTTCGAGATGAATAGAACTCACCCCCCTCTCATGTGATCCTCCTGACCCTTTTAACGCTACCCCTACACTAGTGTCCTATCTCCTATGAGGGTTTGACTCCAACACCAAAGTGTGATGCTGGGTCCCCCGCCGATGCCGAAGAACAAAGTAGCAACTTGCAGTCCGTAGATGTTAAATGGCCGCTGACCCTCAAGTTCGCCTACTTGAGGGCAGCCCTAAAGTTGCCAAGTGTCTCCCTTGAATCAGATTCCAGGTGTGAGTGCCTCTCACTGTCACCTCTCTCAAATTGCCTCATGAAGTCTCCACGAAATGTCTCGCCACCCTAATCTCACTCTCAAGCAACCTGGTTAGGTTCAATGTCGACCCCACATTACCTAACCAGGTTGGGGCAGCTTCCCTTAGCCACGCTGCCCCATTTCCCTTACATCCAACCCTAACCCTAAGTGTTGCCCTCAACCACTTCGGTTAGGGTTAGGGCAGCAAAGTCAACTCTCACCAGCAAGTAGAATCCGCTCTGATACCAATGTTATGACCCTGGCCAATTTCGAGATGCACATTCATCAAATAGTACAATGTCGTCCAATCGCAGAAAGAAATGAATGAACTTGAGAGGATAGAGAAGATTAGAAGAAGAAGAAGTAATCGGTTGAAATGATGTTCGAAGTTTATTTCAATAAGAAGAAAATGATGTACACCAGCATAGATAAATGACAAAGCTCTTCTTCTTCGCCCAACTCTCTCTTCCTCCTTATCTCCTCCTCTCTTATTCACACAAGAAATAATAATACAATGTTGAATAGCTGAACCAGAATCAAAGTCCGAATCCCTCTTCTACTGCTGGTACCAGTTGAGGTCCACCATAGCCATGGCCGCCTCCCTCACTCTTCACTCTCATAGGCCGAGGCTATTGCGGACTACTAGGCTTTGCCCAGATGCCCAAAGGACAACCCAAAGCAGCGATGGCTGCTCTGGCTCAGGCCGCCATGCCTGACTCTGCCTCGAAGCTTCTTGGTGTGGCTCAACCCCAGCTGGGGCCTTCCTGCTGCAGCGCCCACCAAGATGATGAAGATAGCTGCCACCATAGCCAGGTAAGTACCTCTGGCGCTCCTCCCCCTTCCTGTCCTTCTTCCTCCTCCAAGTCCTTGCTTCTTCCCCAGCAGCGCTGCTCCAAGCTAGCGCTGCTCCAAACAGTGTGTCGCCAAACTTGCACACCGACAATGAGGCTGGGCTCTTCGCCCAACCTGGAGATATAGCGGCCTGCTTGCCTCTTGGGCGGTGACTTCCAGGGCGCTCGGCCTTCCCAGCAACCAGTACCTCCTCCCTT